TGGTATTATTTTTAAATGTGTACCTATTTACTGTGATAACACAAGTGCTATATGTATTTCTAAGGATCCAGTTCAACACTCAAAGGTAAAACATATCCACATTAGGCATCACTTTCTAAAAGATAATGTGGAGCAAGGGAATATTAAGTTAGAATTTTGTCAAACTGAAAATCAAATCGCAGATATTCTAACCAAGCCCTTGAACAGAGAAAGATTTGAGAAATTGAGACTGGAACTTGGGATGATCAAGCTGAAGTACTAGCCTCTGAAGTTCCAAGATATGGCAAAGTCAAAAATATTGTAAATAAAGCAAAAAGAACTTCTACCACAAACTTGGTGTGATAAACATAGCTAAAGTGTCACCGTTGTTAACTACCAAAGGTAAGTTCATTAAATTGCTCAACGGTATAAGTTATTAAATTTGTACATTGCACATATGTAGAAAGCGTGTTCCAATTGTGTTTTATAGAAACTTCATTCAAGATTAATTGAATTTGGAAATTTAAAGTTTTTGAAAGATTCATCCAGTATTTTTAAAATTTGAAAAATCAATTGAATTTGTTCAATTAATGACTGAACAGTGAAAACCTCTTAAATTCCCTCACACCGCTTCATTTATTATAAAAGCAAATTTTCACCCACTTCCTTCACCTCACTGTCTCATCAATTTACTCCTCTTCAGTAAAACTTTTAAAAACCTTTTAAAACCCTTCCTAAAACATCAATGGTGATCATTGCTGAGTTTATCTCCTCAGAAAAATCTCAAAACTCTGAAAACACAATTCAAGAAGAAACATCTCCCTTAGCCATGGTAAACTACAAATCGCCCTCTACCTCAAACAAATCTTTTGAAAACCCTAGAAAATCTCCTCCGAAACCAAAGGAAGTGGACAGTAAGAGCAATCAAGGGGATTCCTCTGTTTCAAACATTCTTCAACGGATAAAAGAGTGGAGAGAGAAGAAACAAAGTGAAAAATCTCTTGAAGAGCAAATCGAGGAAGTTTATGATTTTGCTCAAGAGAAAAATTCAGAAGAAACAAAAGAGGAGAACAAAGAAGAAGAAGAAATAAGTGAGGGAGAAGAGGAAGATAAAGAAGAGGAGAACAATTCAGAAAAGGAAGAATTTGAAAAGGAAAATGAAGGAGAGGAAGTAACTGATCAAGCGGAACTTGAATCACAAGCAGGAAGGTACGTAGTAGGACATCGTATTGATGCAATATGGTGTAGGAAAGCAAGATTTTTAGAGTTTCTTGATTTAATTAAATTCCAAGGTTGGGAATTTCTGTTGACTAGGGTTTAAGCAAATTACTTGTATCCTGCTGCTATGAATGAATTTTGTCAAAATTTTCAGGCAAAATTAGGAATAATATCGAGTAGTGTTAATGGTGTGAAAATTGAATTGAACCTCGAAACCCTAGGTACAATTCTAAAAACACCTACTGAGGGTTTTGTTACTTACCTAAAGGGAAAGGGTAGTATCAATGTAGGTAATTTCTTGGCTGGTGATATAGTTGAGGAATTAGGTGGTCAGAGGGGAAAGAAGGTCATGAGTCACAATGATCTTAGCCCTCTACACAAGCTGTTGTTTAATCTGGTGAAAAAGACTATTCTGCCTAGGACTGCTAAGAAGGGGGAGACATGCTTAATGGATATGGCTGTAATCTTCTGCATCTCAAAGAAGATTAAGGTTAACTTTCCTTCCTTGATGTATCAGCACTTAGCACACTGCGTTCCCAGTAGGACAAAAGTGGGGTATGGAGCCATTTTGTCTACTGTATTTGAAAATGCTGGAGTAGTTCTAAAAGGTAGATATGGGGCTTTGGATGAAAAGCCAGAAAATGTGATCAATGAGGAAACCCTTGCTGAGTTAAGTCTGGAAGTAGTACAAGGAAAAATTCAAAATTAGAGAAAGGAGAGAAAAAGAAAGAGAAAGTGACAGGGAAGAGGAAGGAAAAGACTTTGTCAGAGCAGCCTGTGAGGAAGAGCAGGAGGATTTCTGCCAGTGGTGTTCCTCAAACTAGTATGGAACAACCACTGGAGTTGGATGTTGAGGAGAATATCCTTGATGGGCAAGTTGCTGAACTGGCTGACAGAATGGAGAGGGTTGAGAGTCAAATGAAGGACTCTGCTGGAAAGCTTCATGTGCTGACTCTGGAAAAGTTGGTACAGGAGCAGGGGAAGGAGTTAAAGGATCTCAAGAAGATGATGCTGAAACAGAACAAGGAACTTCAAGAGCAAAAGGAGTTTCAAGAGCACACACTGAACAAGGCTCTACAGGAACAGAAGGAGGAGTTCCTGGTGAAACTCAAGGGTATTGAAGAAGGATTAAGGCCTCCGCTCATCAAACAAAGGAGGACTTCAAGAAGATTCTGGAGTTCCTTGAAACCTAGCCTGCTCTATCTCACATTCAGCCTAGCCTATTTTCACTGTCTTAGTTATGAATAAATTTTAATTTCTGTTTTTAGTTTTTGAACAATTAATTTTGATTGTAAATTTTTTATTGTTCAACTGGATGTTAAATATTTTGGTTTTTGGAATGAAAAGTTGGAACTTTGCTTATACTTGTGTGTTTATGTGTATTTTGAACACTTATGCTGAAAAGTAGATCTTACTTGAGGTTGTTTAGCAGCGCTGCCTTTAGTTTCCCACACTCGATGAATTGCTTGTGGGGCCGTTGGTAGTTGTTTAATAAACTTGAAAAAGCAGGACTTTTTTATAATGCCAAAAGGGGGAAAAGAAGAAGCAAACATGGAGGCTGAAGTTGTTCTGGGTTCCAATTGAGAAAGTATCATAATTTTCGTCTGATATGATGCTAATAGTTTAGTTTACTTATTTTTGTTTATTTGTTTTTGCTTTTGGTTTTTGTTTTATTCAGTTGTGTGTTTATTTTCTGTTAATAATTTAAAAATACAAAAATACAACCTTTTATTTTGTTTTAACTTTCTCAAGAGTTTGCTTAAGTTTGTCATCATCAAAAAGGGGGAAATTGTTGATGTTTAAAGGTTTTGATGATGAGGAACTTAAGTTTCAGCAAACTCATCTCATAAAGGCTTTTCAAGTGTTTGTTTAGCTTAGGTGAAATTGATCTTGGAGATGGAAGAAGTAACTGAAGCTGAGAAGACTTGAAGGAGTTCTTTATCAAGAAAGTTATTCAAAATAGAAGAAGAGTTCCCTAACAGGAACTGAGTTCCCTCACAAGAACGTTCCTTTACAGGAACTTGAAGATTGCTGACTAAGATCTTTGGAGGAACTTAGTAAGCGTAGGGTCCAAGTAAACCTACCAGAACAAGAGCGCAGCGCAGCAATGTTTTAGTTAAGATTTTATCTTCTAGATTCATTGTTAAATATGTTAAGTAGGATATGCATGAAATTTATTAGAAGCGTGACATGTTGGCTTGGCAAATAAATTAAAATCGGAAAAGATAAAAGATAGAAATCGAAAAAGATTTTCTTTAAATATTTATTTCTTAAAATCAGTTTGTTAAAAAGATATTATGCTTTTTAACTCAATATTTCTATCTTATTTTCTGAAAAGATTTTCTTCAAAAGATTTACTTAAAAACCGTGTTTTAAGATAAGTTAAGTTTTACTTATTTATCTTTATGAAAAACCTACTTTCTATACAAGTAATACTTGTATAAATAGTAGAGAATAGTAGGAGGTTAGGTTGTTGTGAGTTTATGCGTGAAGAATTACAGAGCTTTAATTGTGTAAGTTTGCCAAGCTTATAATCTTGTCATATTAGTTTCGGATTTCATGCATAGCTTGCCTATCATATACTAGGTGTTAATACTTGTATTTGGTTTGGGATTATTTGGGTGAGAGTATTGTTATTATCATTGCATACAGAGAGAGCTTCTGGTGAGAAGCTGAAAGATCTGTACTTAGGGAGTACGAGAGAGTCTGAGTGTGGGACTTAGACTGGGTAGGACAGTGTCATGTTCTGTAACAAGTTCAGTTAGGAACTTGTGAGTAGAGACTTAATTATAATAGGTTGTAACTTGGTGTTTGCCCTATTATAGTGGAAGTGTTTGTGTTTGAAATCCCTAAGGTAGGGTCGAGGTTTTACTTCTAGTTGGGCACTAAAAGGTTTCCCCGTAAAATACTGTGTGCTTTGCAAGTTCCTATTTTATTCTGTTTTATATTTGCAAAAGTAGCAATTAGGAACTCATCTACAATTCACCCCCCCCCCCTTCTTATAGAGTTCATCTCAACTAACAACATATAACTGTCACATATGTAGTATCTTATCGGTAAAAGACGTTCTACCAATCTACCTAAATACTTAGTGGTCCTACTCGAAGACGAATTGAAGTTCATTGATTCCTTCCATCTTCTCCAATATAAAGCAACTCACATGCAATGTAACATTTTCATGAAAATTGTATTGGTCCATACTCCATAGCATAGCTCCAGTCGTACAAGTTAATGTTTGAACTTACCAAGTACGGCGACGACCATCGACTATTCAAGACAATTACATGATCACTTTAATTTTCTGCAACGTGTACGATTACTATCCTAGTGAGTGTAACGTTATAATCAATCAATTCAATACTATAATGTTGTATAGTACGGAAGAAAATTCAACATTTGCATGGAATTTGCTCTCCACCACTTAACGTACTTTTGATAAATATCTAACTAGAGGACCATTATTTATATGAACATGGAAAAGACAAGAAAAAGTAACATTATTATAAAATAAAGCTGGCCAATTGTTTGGGTTTGTTGTCCTGACTCTTGACTCATCGTTATAACAATTTCATATAAATGAATTTAGGTGAATAGATGAGATTTATTATTATTCCTAAGCCAAACCTTAGAAGAAGATTACTAGCTACTCCGTAACAAATACTATTACCTCCATTTACGTATTATGTGCAATTTTTGAATTTTTTATACCTCACAAATAATACCCTAAAATTGCACATAATATATAATAAAGGTAGGGTTTTTTTTTTAAAGGAAGGTATTAGTATTTTGCTAAAAGGAGAAAGTGATTTATAATGATGTTGTATTTCAGTATATCTTACAAGTATAAAAAAATGAAGGCTAAACAACAAAAATTAAAAATTACATGAAAGTTGTTTATAATACAGTGATATACGAAGTAAATAATTTCTTGTAAAAAAAGAAGCTAAGGAACAGATTCATCTTGCAGTTGGATGAGTGATCTCAGAAAAGACTGAACCAGGTTTGGAATGAGCAAGATAATCGGAAGATGAACTTGTCGTAGATTTACTGTTACTGGCCATAAACTTCTTTGAAGTACCTTCGACAACACTACTTTGAGAAAAGTTATTTCCTGAGTTTGTCGATATATCATTATCTGTAAAACCAACATCGATAGCATTTAGATAACTACTACTTAGATCGAAACTTTCATTTGGTGTACCATTTGCAATTTTGTTATCCTCGGCAGTTTCTTGAAGTTGTAACGCAAACTCTAACCCCCACACTATGTCTCCCATCGAGGGACGCTCGATCCCCCGATCACGAACACACATGGTAGCTATCTCACCGAACTTCCTTAGACTCTCGGGTGCAATCTGCCCCGTAAGGTTCGGGTCTACAATAGTATGAAGGGTTCCTTTTTTGTAGTGACTTTGTGCCCATATTGCTAAATTTGCTTGTTCTTTAGGAAGGTTTGGGTTCACTGCAGCTCGAGCACATAAAACTTCGAACAAGACTACTCCAAAGGAGTACACATCGGATTTCTCCGTCAATTGGTGACGTTGAAAGTATTCAGGATCTAAGTACCCTGCACTCCCTTTGACTGCGGTGCTAACATAAGTAGCACCGGCCTCAGTTTGGTCAGGTCCGACCTTGGAGAGGCCAAAGTCAGAGACTTTGGCCATCCACTTGTCATCAAGGAGGATGTTGGTAGACTTGACATCGCGGTGGATGATAAGTTGTTTTGCACCCGCGTGAAGATAGTGTAGGCCGCGAGCTGATCCTACACAAATCATAAGGCGTTGCTTCCATGATAGTGGATTGTTGTTAGTGTTGTCAATTTTATCTGGAGCTTTGTAGAACAAATGGTCTCGAAGAGTGCCACGTGGCATGTACTCGTAAACTAGGATCATTTCACCCTCGTCCTCACAATACCCTATCAAGGACACCAAATGTACGTGGCGTAGTCTTGAGAGCATCTCGATCTCAGTTTGAAACTCTCGAACCCCTTGTTTAGATGTAGAGTTAAGTCGTTTGATAGCCACTTTGGTAGCTCCACCATCTATAGAACCCTTGTAGACCTTTCCGAAGCCACCCCTGCCTATGACCAAGTTCTCGTCGAAATCACGGGTGGCAACCCTAATTTGGATGAACGTGAAATGGCGACAAAGATCAGACGGCAAGGATGAACTCATGGTGTTAGTTGTCGCGTTCCCTAAATCAAATGAGATAGGGGCCCATTTATCCTTGCTTCCTGTGTTTGTGTCCATGTTTTCCTTTCTAATAAGTATCTTGTTCGCCCTCCATTTATAGACAATTAGACAAACAATGAAGAAGAGGGAAGCCAACCCAGTTGTGCCTAAGATAATTGGGAGGGTATGAAGGTGTTTCGAGCTTGGGGTATGGACCGAAGGAGGGCTAAGAGCCATTGATAAGGGCGGGTTAGTAGCAGCAAGACTTCCATTTGATTGATTCAACTTCAAAATTTCCACTCCATTTAGAAACGCATCAATCAAACTGCAAAGATGAAGTTTCAGTGACATTAGTAGTTCATTGAGGATTGTTACACTCTATTGCAATTTCTTGGATTGAACTTTTATCAGTAACTTAAATCACAAATTCTCGCGCATGTAGTACAAACAAACTTTAACAAAGGAAATATAATACACTTAATTTGCATAAGACCATATACTACCTCCGTTACATATTATTTGTAACGATTAGACATTTTTCCTCTCTACTTTATGTCAAATCGTTGCAAATAATATGTAACTGAGTAGTACTACATAGCCTTTTCATTTATATTTGTAAACCCCAGGCCAATATCGGTGTTAATTAGTACCATAGAAATCATATAGAAGTATAAGGTGGAGGTGATGATTTATTGTAGGCAGTGGTACGGTGGAACCAATTCAAGACCTGGTAGGGCACGTGTCCTATAAGATACCGCGCCACCAATAAAAAAAAAAGGTTTAACTTAAATTTTTTTAGAGATAAACATAAAGTGCAGAATAATAACTAAGATTACTTGAAAAATTCTGACTTCGCTACTGGTTGTAGGAATACGCTAAGTTAGTTGAAATACTGAGATTAATGATAGATATAAATTAACACTGACCGGGTATCAGAATTCTTCTTCGGATGGAGAGCAAGCCAGATAGGAACTTTGATGCCATTTTGACTTAGACCGTACATCATGCTAACAACGTAATCTCGGAACATTGCAATATTACTTCCACCACTCATTTCCCAAACATCAACGGTATCAGCGGTTTCATTATTTATGTAAACATCAAACACTCTTACATGAGATTTGGTCACCCTTCTATCCATCTCACAGAAATGAAGTCTAACCATATAATCAAACCCGGGATCGACGTCAAATCGCCAAGTCAAGTTCTTGGTTAGGCTCTGAGGGTATTTCAGTCCAATCATCCTCAATGTCCCGTACACTTGCCTTGGTGCCACGTAGGATGGCACATTTGGAGAGTATTTCACCGCAGTTGCAAACGGCTCACGCACGGACGGTGGATATCCTGTAATACCAGTGAAGTTTCCGACAACGCAATTATCGTCCAGTTTCCAGGTACGGCCAAGTGTTCCAGAGTCGTTTACCGGATCAATGGAAGACCCTCCGACGTTAATCCGATAAACTATCTGTAACGCTGCCACTTCTTGTTGGAAGGGGTAGACGTTACCCGACGACACATAAAACAAAGGTGGGTTTCGGGTGGAATTTAAATAAAGGCCCTCTGGTACAGAGGTGATCTGGATACCGTTTATGAAACCATATGAGGTGGTTGAGAGGGCCAAGTTGAGAGGTTGTCCTTTTTGTATGGTAAGATGGTATTCGTAGAACATGTTCGAGTCATTGGAGTAGTTTTGGAAAGCGCTGAAATTGTGTAAGAGAGTTTTTCCGTTGGCTTCGACGGTTAAGAAGAACCCAGAGGCGGGGATGGTGGTGGTGGTGTTGTACTTATAAGGAGTTGCGGTGGTGAAATAAAGGCGGAGAAATTTGGGACCCGGGGTGACCGGGAATGAGTAGGTAAGATGGGTATTAAAAATCCGGGCACTTGTGTAAGGAGCATCATATCCTCCAATGACATCAACAGAGGAGGATGTTTGGCTAATGTTTACCGGAGCAAACACCGGATCGTTATCGCTCTGCCACGTTCTGCCGTCTTGTGAGGTTGTGGACTTGGAGATACCGCAGGCGATCAAGTAATCAGTATTACTCATCATAGCAGATGAAGTAAAGGGAAGAATTAGTGTAAGAAGAATAAAGGGAAGCATTTTTAAACAAATTTTAAAATGAGGAAACCTTAATGAAAACTGAGGGTTGATTAGCGTTAGAGGATGGATTTAGAGAAGAAAGCATTTTGGATCGATGATAGTACAATTTTGATTTGGCACATTAGTTGACCGTATTACGAATAAAAGTCTACGGCTATATATCTATAATAAGTTCAATTTTATTTTTTATTCCTACTCTCTCCTTCACTAATTAAAAGTCTCCATTCTCTTAGACAGTAAAACATTTTTGTAGAAAAATTGTACGAATAGTAAAATATACTCACCTTTTTTTTAAAAGCTAAAGTTATGAATGCACGGAGTTTTATGAGAATTTATTAACTTTAATTAATACGAGTAGTGTAGTTAATATTTTAGTGGAAAATTGAAAAGTAAAGGGATGTGAGAGAGAGTGAGAAATAATAAATGAGACATGTAATATACGGCCTCCGCTTCGTATTACTCGCAACAAAGGGCTATTATTTGTGAGATACAAAATATTCGCTTGTTGCAAGCTGAGTAATGCGAAGCAGAGATAGTAACTATATAAGAGATTGGGATCATTGACGAGTAAAATTATAGGATTTTATTAAAAAACGGAGGGAGTAGTTAATTACGTAGTAATTTTGTGCCCGGATTATTTATTAAATTTTAGGATAAACATTCTGTCCCAAGTAATGTGTGGTTCCTACAGGCGTGGATACATTGCATCGTACCGCCGTTTCACAAAAAGAACATATTATACAAATGTAAAGAACATACAATTGTAATGAAAAGAAAATACTATTAAAATGTAATAAACATATAACTAAAGTAAAAAGAACATATTTGCACCAAAATAGAGTGAAAAGAACATATGTTCATGTTCTTTGATCGTCAGTGTAATGTATATTTGTGATATAATGTTCATTGGTTACTATGAAATGTTTTTTGAATTATGGTGGATATATATAAACAATGGTTATTACATAATATTTTCATGTTCTTTATTAATATAAGAGATGTTCTTTAGATATTAAAAAAATATAAAATTGGATGTTTTTTACAAAACTGCTATATGTTTTTTACAAAATAGCGGTATGTTCTTTACAAAATAGCTGCATGTTCTTTCCACATTTTTAGCCTGTACTAAGTAAGGTAGAAGCTGATGTACCTTAAAATTTTCATGTCCCAAGTGCCAAATCTTAACATACATAATTGATACAAAATTATTTTATATAAAAGGCGTATAATCCATTTTGATTTAGGTTAGTTTGATGTAGGATACCATTGTATGTAAGAGCAATGCATACATACGCTCCGTATATGAAAATCTCAAGTGTAACGTTTACACAAAAAAAAAAAAAAATTAGAAATTTTGCCATGGACATTTTATGTTTGCACATTAATGATAAGGTTTTTTTTTGAATTTCACCACCAAGAAAAAACACAAAATTGTTTTTTACCACCAAACTTTTAAAAGTTATTTTAAGTTATATTTTACCACCTTCTAAATATCTAAAAATTGTTTTTTTTTTTACCACTTGCTATCAAAATAATCATTAAATTTAACAAAATTAAAAAAATTCTTTGATTTTTGTGTCAAAAACATGTTCTTTAATGTTTTGGGGGTTAATTTGGTCCTTTGGGATCGATTTGAGGTCAAAATTGACTAAAAATTATAGTAAATACCTTATTTTGCCTACTAAAAATACATCATTTTACGTAATTCACACAAAACGAGACATTTTCGAAAAATTTTAGCCAATACGGATCTCAAATCGGTTCAAAAGACTAAAATGACCCCCAAAACGTCTAAATGACATGTTTTTGATATTAATACAGATAAATTTTTTGAAACCCGTTAAATTTAACAGTTTCTTTGATAGTTGGGGGTGATAAAAAACAATTTCGTGTTTTTCTTGGTGCTAAAAGTAAAAAAAAAAAAAAAAATCTAATGATAATGCTTTAAAGAAGAAAACGAATCAATTATATTTAGGAACTGTAATTATAAATCCAAAGTACTCCGTATATATATTATCTGACGCTAGTGATTAAAATTGTAGCCATGATGACAAGTGACAATGATAATAATTCTAGACATTATCAATTATTACATGAAAATGGATGCAAAAACTCTTAAAAAAAAAAAACAAACACACGCTATTAATTAGCTAGCATAGATACAGCATAAGTATTGAAGCAAGGTGCAAACGCTTGCTATTGAGAGGCCGGCATTCACCTACAGCGCTCGTAATGTTGGCACGACCGACGATGGCTCGCTGCAAGAAGTTGGCTGTTGCCAGCATACGTGCTATCTTGTGCTGTTGGAAACACCAGCCTCTCTGGTTTTAAAGCCAAGTAAACCTCAGGGGCAGAAGCCCTTGCAAGACAAAATGGGTAGATGATCAGTAGAAGAACCAGGAGAAGACGAAGATGAAGCACATTGAAAACAGTACATCTTCTTCCACCATAGCTCTTGCCATTGTTTTTGTTGTTCATCTTAAATTAATTTCTGCTAATGACTGTTTTTTTTTTTCTTTTTTTTTTTTTTTTTGTAATTTACACTCCTTTACTGATATATGATCTCTCGCTTCGCTAATATATAATGTATGGCTTTTATAACTCTGCTTCAGGATAACATGTACTGCTTTTATAATGTACTCACTTAATTGTGTATGTGAAATCAGAAGTGGCTGCCAGCTGCATATCAAGTTGACTTCTGTTTACTTGTCGGTTGCAATAATTGGTCTTTGGCATACTCGTACTGCTCCTGGAGTCCTGGCCCTTATTTTTAGAAAATTTTCACAGTTGTTACCGATTAAAGGACCCTCCTTCACATTTACTACTTTTTTAATTTTTTATTTTACTTTGCTAACACCTAAATCAGATTGTTACGCCCAAAGCTGCGGGCGGCGCCGGTAATTTGGGTGGGAATCGAACCCCTTCCCGAAACCACCCTAAACGAGTTTTAGGGTTTCTCTTAGGGTGGTTTTGGATGGCAGGGAACTCCCTCGACGTGGCCAGAAAAGGGAACAGGGGACGAGGAGGGGCTAGGATTGGGTTTTTGAGGGGAGATTGGCTGGGATCGAGGGGGTTTTCAAGGGGAGAGAGGGGGCTGAGATCGAGGATGGGATCGGGTTTTTGAGGGGGCTGGGAACGCGAAACCGGCGCCGACAGGCTGAGTGGTCAGAGTCGCGGGCAGGGGGTGGGCTCAGGCGACGATGGCAGTGGCTTGAGCAGGTGGGTGGACGGTGAGTAGCGGTTGCGGTGGGTTTGATGTTGAACAGTGGAGGTGGATTATTGGCAGCTGGTTGGTGAGAAGGAGTGGTGGGTGGGAAGGAGTGGTGGCTGGACGGTGATTGGGTGGTGGTAACGAAAATACTAACGGTGTAAGTTAAGTGGTAGTGATTTTTAACAAACTCTAATTTAGGTGGTAGCAAAGTAAAATAAAACATTAAAACGGTAGTAAATGTGAAACATGGTCCTTTTGCTAGTAGCAAATGTAAAAATTTCCCTATTTTTATTTGGGTTTTGGGATGACCGAGGCCTAAGACATACGAAGTATATTAGGAAAGGTAACACACATGTTAAACATATATGTGCACTGATAATACTATAAAGTTACAACTAATTTTTAATTGAGGTAGTATGATTTTTACACAGAAAAGTTGTGAAATTTCACTCACCAAATTATTATGTTTACATTGAATCCTCTGCTCTCTCAATAATACTCAAATCCTGTTATTTAATTGTTTCTTTAGGTTTGTCATTGGCAGGCTAATCTTACATAATATAATAGCATAACAAAATGCATTTATTTACCGAATTCTTGCTTTTGTATATTTCAAAAAAAAAAAAAAAAATTCTTGCTTTTGTATAATACTTTGTAATATTTCGATAAATTGGCTGATTGGATCTATCTTAGCGTTTATTTGGTTTTTTAAATTGGAATGTATAGAATCTCATACCAAGAATATATATATATATATATGGAGTGGATCATGTGAAAACAACTCTTATACTGAAAACAATTTATCCTAGCCGTAGATTATAATCTAACGGATGACATTCCATCTAACGTTTAAACGCATTTTCATACATTTTACCCCCTCACAGTTGACAGTAGTATTATCTCTCCTCTCGACCTTCCGTTTTTTTCTTTTTTCTCATCTCTTTCCTCAACAATTTGGGAATTCTTTCTTCTCAACATTGTTGATTTCTTCTTCGATTCATCAAATTTTCTTCTACAATTTGCAATTAAGCTAGCAGGTAAATTTTAAATTTATCAATTTATGGTTATTTTAACAAAAGTTGAGTATTATTATTATCTTGAAATTTGCCGAAAATTATTTTGTATCTTAGAATTTGTACGAATCTGATGATTTTGTTGAAGAATTGGTGATGATATTGCTAATACAAGCTTTTAAAATATGTTTTTTGGAGCAAATTTTTCTCTTGCTTTCGTAAACTGCACTTAATTATTGTTACTTTGATTTTCTTTCACTTAGGGTTTTGATTTTTAGTTTGATTTAACATCTTTGATATAATAACTTGGATAATTGCTGGTTATTATTAAAATTCTAATCGATTTAAGATAATATTTATCAGGTTTCAGTTGTTAATCGATTATATTACTCGATTTTATTCTGATTCCGAATTCAAGTGTGAGGTGTTAATTTGTTTTTCTCTTTCATATGATTCTGTTTTTAGCTTGTTTTGCATCTTTGTGTTTAGCTTTACTTTTTTTGATCAGATTTTTCATATCTCTTGATTAGTTGAATTTTATTACGACTTTGTATTTTGTTTGAGTACATTATCTAAATTAAGTGGAAAATGATGCATTATAGACTCCAATCACTCCATGCATAGCACTCTGAATCTAATTTTACAAGGCCTCGATTAGTCGTTTGCCACCAATTAAGCTCATGATTGCCATATTGTCATAGTTGTTTTGCTTACTTTTTTTTTTTTTTTTTGATGACTATATGATATATGAAAGATGATTTTGACAGGTAGTAACTTTTTCTGGGAATTAAATTCGAGATTCGAAAGTGAACAAGTTATAATACTTGGCTTTATTGTTGCTGTTTGCTTAGGTGGCTGCTCGTGGTGTGGTTCCGGAGTTGTTGCTGCTTAAATAGTTGTTTGGTGAGCGGTGCAGCGGCCGAGATTTGGTGCGGTGGCGAGCTGCTAGTTGCATGGTGATCCACGGTAGCTGACTAGCTGGTAGTGCGGAGGTGGAGCTACTTGAGTGATAGGCTTACATATAGTAACTCTTTTGTGGCATGGGGTGATATCTTGTTTTTATACTAGTACGGAGTAGTATATAGTGACCTTTATTTGTATATACTTGTCCATATTAAGGATATGGATACCTTGTTTTTATATTTAGTGAACTTAATTTGCATATAGAAACCGAAATCATTAATATAGTTACCTTATTTTTAGATATAGTGACCTCTGTGCAAGTTTCATCAAAGTTGATATTGCAGCCTTGTTTCTATATATATATAGTGACCTTTATATAAATGTCGTCAAAATTGTTATAATTTGATATAGTTAGCTTATTTTTGTATATAGTGACCTCTGGATAAGGTGTCAAATTGATATAATTACCCGAAGTTTATATATACTTACCTTATTTTTGTATATAATAACATTAGCAACATAGAAATGTTATAAAATTGATGTAGTTATCTTATTTTTATGTATAGTGACCTTTAGTTTTGTATATAGTGACCTTTATGTAAATGGTGTCAAAGATTTAAAGTCGTTATAGTTACCTTATTTATGTTCATAGTGACCTGTATGTAAATTTTGTCAAAATTGATATAATTATCTTATTTTTGTATATAATGACCTTTGTGTAAATATCGTCACAATTGATATAGTTACGTTATTTTTATATATAGTGACTCTATATAAATGTCGTCAATTTAGAAAAAGTTACCTCATTTTAGTATATAGTGACCTTTAAAATGGTTGAATTGATTATATGTAAGGTTAGAAAGATCTTAAAGCTTATACACCATCCGATCTTTTGTGCTATTAATGAATGGTTGAGATTCCTTGTTTTCAGCATAAGCCTTGTTTTCAGCGGAACCACCCCGTATATATATATATATATATATATATATATATATATATATATATATATATATATATATATATATATATATATATATATATATTGAAAATCTCATATATGTATATATACTAAGAATATATAGAATCTCATACTAAGAATATGAGTTGAGATCCTCTAGAGTTTGAAAATTATAGAGTTGTAGAGTTGTGAGAGTGAGAGTTTTTAATTATTTTTATTGAACTTTTATCTTTTATTTTGAAATGCATGCAAGATGAATATTAGGGAGGGTCTAGATTTATTGAACTCTATAGAGTTCAACTCTAGAGGATCCAAACCTGTATTTTACAACATCTTACCATTTAATTTAGGCAAAATTGGCCTCAACACTCTGAACTTTGGCTTGGGTGCACTCAGCACCCTGAACTAAGCAACATAGCCAGAACACCCTGAAGTATTAGCATGGGTGCACTTAGCACTATAAAAGAAAATTTCTGGCCAAAGTGGCTAGATTCCCGCGACTTTTTTTTTAAAAAATAAAAAAAAATATTTTTTTTTATTTTCTTCTTCTTATTATTAATATTATTTGATATTATTATTGTTGTTGTTATTATTAGGAAAATTTGATAATTACCACCAACTATTGTTGCCAAAATTGAAATTACCACCTCAAGTTTTTTTTTTTTTTAATTTTACCACCTAGTTTTTCCCAAAAGTTTTCAAATCCCCACCTTTTAGGAGAGATGACCTCATCAAGGGCCCACGCAATATTTTTCCCTCTCTTTTTCTCTCTCTTCCCTCGATTTCCCTCTTTCTTCCCCTGTTCTTCTTCTCCCTTATTTCAGTTTCATCTCTCTCCTCTTCAATTCTCAATATTGTACTCTCACCCACCCAAATTTAATTTTAAACCCTAACATTCAACACTCAACTTTCACTCTCTCTCCTTTTCTTTCTAAAAGAACCCTTATTGCGGTACTTTCTCTGAGCAAAAGAGCAGTGGGGGGGACCAATTGAGAAGCCAAATCAACTGCATTGTAGAGGGGGAACTTGGATATCGTGGGAAGAAAGAGGGAAATCGAGGGAAGAGAGAGAGAAAGAGAGGGAAAACGGTTGCGTGGGCCCTTGATGACGTCATGTCTCCCAAAAGGTGGGAATTTGAAAACTTTTGGAAAAAACTAGGTGGTAAAATTAAAAAAAAAAAACTTGAGGTGGTAATTTCAATTTTGGCATCAATAATTGGTAGTAATTATCAAATTTTCCTTATTATTATTATTATTACGAAAATACCTCAATTTGCCTGTTGTTATTTTTTTTGACGGAAATTTTTCGGGTCAGGTTTCGGGGGTCATTTATACTCTTAATGGGTCCAAATTAAGCTTAGAATTTGCAAAAAAAAAAAAAAAAAAAAAAAAAAAAAAAACACAAAAATACCTCGAATTGCGTGTTGTTATTTTTTTGACGCAAATTGTTCGGGTAAGGTTTCGGAGGTCATTTTCCTTTAATGGAACCAAATTAAGCTCAGAATTTGCATAAAAATAACGGGAATACCTCGATTTGCATGTCGAGAAATATCTAAGTAGCTAAGACACGCAAATCGAGATATTTCATGACACGTAAAACAGGGTATTTTCTTTGCAAATTCCGAGCTGAATTTGGATCCAATAAGGGAAAAATGACCTCGAAACCTTGCCAAAATAATTTCCGTCAAAAGAATAACAGCACACAAATCGAGATATTCCTCGACACGCAAAACGAGGTATTTCCATTATTTTTTGCGAATTCCGAACTTAATTTGGATCCATTAAGATAAAAAATGACCCCCGAAACCTTACCCGAACAATTTCCGAAAAAAAAATAACAACACCCAAATCGAGGTATTTTCGTAATAATAATTATTATTATTATATTAAATAATATTAATAATAAGAAGAAGAAAATAAAAAAAAAAACATTTAAAAAAAAAAGTCGCCGAAATCCAGCCACTTTTGGCCTGAAATTTTCTTTTATGGTGCTAAGTGCACCCATGCTAATACTTCAGGGTGTTTTGGCTATGTTGCTTAGTTCAAGGTGTTGAGTGCACCCAAGCCAAAATTCAGAGTGTTGAGGCCAATTTTGCCTTTAATTTATTAGATAGTTTCTTACAATATTTTTTTTATTAGGTAATTGTAGACCGGTGATATTTATGGTACTTAAATCCAATTCATCTAGTCTTTTGGTCCGTACAGTATAATGTACGGGCTTGTTATTTTTATTTATTTATTTATTTTTGGGTGCATGTAGTTTATTTAATCATGAAATAGACAAATAGTAGTATGGACTATGGAGATATTGGGGGTTTTTGGTCGTGAGTTATTTTGTGAGGAACAATAACTTTAACCAGTGGCGGAACCAAAATTTTAAAATGAAGGGGGCCAGGATCATATCTATGTATGTGTAATTTTTCAACTTTATTGAGTTCGTTGATTACATTTGCTATTTTTTTTTTAAGAAAAAAAAACAACAAAAAAACAAAAAACAAAATGTTAGTTGTAAGATTTGAACTCTTTACCTCTTGTTCACTATCACATGGCAAAAACCAACTCCTATACACTAAAGCTTAAATTAATTGTATGCAAAATTTAATATGTAGTATTTATTTTGAGCCAAGGGGGAGGTCATGGCCCACCCCAGCCCCCTTGGCTCCGTCCTTGACTTTAACGCATTTAGGTTTAGTTTTTTTTTTAATTATTTATTTTTATTTTTTTTATTTGTTGTTTTGCATTATAATTTTTTTTTTTTTTACAACAACATTATAATATGTTGAAAATGGCATTCGTTGGATTGGTAAGCAATCAATAATTAGGAAGTTAGATTAGCAAAATATTATCCCTATGTTCCTTTATTACATGCATGTATTCCTTTTTGGGGTGACCAAAATTAAGTGCTTGTTTCTATTAATAAGTTACTTTTTTACAATATTACTCTCTTTTTATGATTTGTCACCCTTTTTCTTTTTTGTACTTTAACATCAATTCTCAATACTTTCTCTCTCCTAATTCCCAACCACTTTTTCTTTCTCTTTATCTCTCTCTAACCCCACATGCATATTTATACTCCCAATTATTAGTTTTAAAGAATTTTTAACTTTCTTAATTCCCGTACAAAATGAGAAATAGGCATATAATAAAAGAATGGAGGGAGTATTGATTATATGTTTAAGTAACCATGTTTTTTTTTTTTCTTGACAATCCGTAACCATATTATAAAAGTTAAAGGCTAGAGGAGTCTAGGAAAACAACAGGAAGAATACAAGGAGGAGCATCCTCAATCCAAACACGCATCTCACCAAATTCCCTCCTAACATGGGCTGATTTATGGGCTACAACATTCCCATTTCTACCTACTTGACAAATATTAAAAGAAGAGCAACTACTAGCAAGGAGAAGGATGTCACTCACAATTAGACCAAAACCAGAAACTTCCTTCTTTTGCATCTTTAGATAATGAAATAATTTGCTATTATCAGTTTCAAGAATCACGTTTCGTAGGCCTGCATCCAAGGCAATAGACATGGAGTGACGAGCAGCAAGAGCACCCAGCATCCTGCAGCAAGTAGTGACCATAATATCTCCAAAGCTATCACGCATTATTCCACCAAGGCCAATCGAGTGATCCTGAAAGCAAGCTGCATCAGAAGTAACCATGTTTACATAGGATAGTTAAGGAATGACCAAATGATAACATTCTTCATATTGTGGCATCCACATTTTCCCATCATGTCTTCATATTTTGTCTCCTCCATTTTATATGCCTTGGAATTTGCCTCATGTGGATTTTCTTTGTCTTCAAGTGGTTATATTTCCGGGATTGACTCATCATTCCAAGAGACCAGAAATATTTTTTTTACTCTATCACAAGTAATACATGATACTTGCACCAAATTGTACAATGATAAGGCTAAGATTATAGTGAAGAAGACATTGAACGTGCTCATGACTTTTTTTATACGTGCCTATGTTGTTTGTTGAATCAGCTCAATCTTATTTTCTCCGTTTCTTTTAATTGCCCTAAGTTCTAAGCTTCTAAGTATGGAGTATGAAATTATTTTATTCTTTTTGCTTGTTTCACAACAGGGTAGCTTAGTATATTGATATACATCTGAGTTAAACTTCAAACTTTGGTAAGAACAAAAAAATTGAAGCTAGTAAGCTACAATGTAGTTGCGTGATCTTTGTGGAGGTTAGGCAATGAAAGCACGAGACTGTTTTCATACGAAGTATGTTACATAGTTTCAATGACCATGAAGCATGCTCTCCAATGACACGGACCTCTCATTTCACCTACACAAGTTTTAGCACTTTATAAATTTTCATCTACTTAACAAAATAATTTTACAAAACAATAAAAATAATTAGGTGGCTTGTCAACTCATCTCATTAATTTCACCTATTAACTTATCAATTTCAGCTAGCTGCCTAGCTTATTAATTTTATCTAGTGTTTGTGTCTAAAAAAAACTATCGTTAGTTGTCTAACAAGGCTTTTATTATTTATTTTTTTCTTTTTACTTAAAGGCCCAGTTCATTCAAAATAGGTCCAATACACACCCAGTTGTTGTTAGTTGGACTCGAGACCAGCTAACATTGGCTGGTCCCTTGTTCAGAAATGAACATTTAGTATACCATAAGTGAACATTTTCTAATGGGACATATTTTACAATAATTTTGTTTTTTTTTTCTATAATTAAATGTTCATTTTCATGCAATTTGATGTTCATTCTTATAAAATAAATGTTCATCTCATACAGTATGTTCATTCTTATAAAATAAGTATTCATTTTCTTTTTTAATTTACAGAAATTTTTGCGTTTGTTTCGTTGTATAAAATGTTTGTTTTTATAGTAAAGGGTGTTCAATTAACATTAGCATTAATAATGTTAGACTTTAGCATTAATAATGTTAGACATTAGCATTGTTCATTATTTAAAAAACATATTGTTTGATTTATTTAATTGATATTAAATTATAGTTTAGCAAATTGTAAGATGTTCATTAAGAGAATCGACCAAATCAAGGTATTTCATTTTAAACTTAAAAAATATTGATGAATAAGCAACAACATGATATGTTCATTTTTATTTACAACTGAAATGTTCAGTTTTATAACATTAGATGTACCTCATAGTCTCTTTATTTTATTCTTATATTATAAATGTTCAATTTTTTTTTCTTATAAATGTTCATTTTGTAGCGTACGACTGGCTAAACACTTGTCATATGCACCACTAAATTCGGCTTAGGTAAATAGAAGTTAATCTCTGAGATATAAAAAAAAATTTAACACATACTTCCTCCGTTTCTTTTTAGTTGACACGTTTCTTTAGTTACGTTTGCAAATGCACAAATTAAATCATTAATATCTTTAATTATCGATAAGCAAAAATTATGAAAAGTTGATATTATGAAAATATTTATTGTGACGAATCTAACAAAATCCCACTTGACTATATTTTTCCTTGCATATAAATCACAAAACATGGTCAAAAAAAGGCGTGTGAATAGTGTTAAATTCAAAACGTGTCAACTAATAAAAAAAGCGAAAGTAGTTGTATTTTTGTAAATAAATCAACAACTTTGCGGATCAATCAATCCAAATTAAATTTAACCTCATTAAAAATTAGGAAATTTTCACATTTGAATTGCTACCACTAAAAACACCACGCTTCACATTTGCTACCTCTTTAATTTTTTTTTTATTTTACTACCACCTAAAACAGAGTTTGTTAAAAATCACTACCACATGCCTTATTCTGTTACTATTTATGTTAGTGGGCCCACTCCACCGTTTAGCCACCCCTCCAACCACCTTGCAGCCACCCCTCCTCCTCACTACCACCCCTCACCTCCCCCCTCCCCCTGTCGGCGCCGCCGCGCCAACCCACCCCCTCCCTTTCCCCCACCCTATGCGCATCCAATCCCCCCTTTCCCTTTCCCGTTCTTGAGCTCCGACCCCCACCCCGAACGAAAACCACCCCCTTTCCCCTTCCCTCCACCGGAGATCGGCCCCCCTCCCCTAATTCCCCCATCGAAATCGATCCCCTCCCCTTCCCCTACCTTTTTCGGCTGTCCCTAACCCTAAACCATCACCACAAAACCACCCTTAACGAATTTTAGGGATTCGGTTGTGGTGGTTTAGGGTTAGGGATGGCCGAAAAGGGTAGGGGGAGGGGAGGGGGTCGATTTCGGTGGGGGAATCAAAGGAGGGGGCCGATTTCCGGTGGAGGGAAGGGGAAAGGGGGTTACGGTGGTGTTGGTATGGGTTTTGGGGGTTACGGTGGCGGTGGTGGTCTGGGTTTGGGGGTGTCGGCTTAGGATTAAGATTGTCAATTTTGGATGGGGAAAAGGGATGGGGAGAGGTCGCCGGCGCCGGCCGCCGAAAGGGGGGAGAGGGAGGGTGGCAAATTAGGGGAGGGAGAGGGTGGCAGATTAGGGGAAGGGTGGGTGGGGTTGTTGGTTTTTTTTAATTTTTTTAAAATCTTTTTAAATTTTCTTTTTTTTTTTTAAATAAACCTACAGAAATCCTAACGGATTCCGTTAAGTGGTAGTGATTTTTAACAAAGTCTGATTTAGGTGGTAGCAAAGGGAAAAAAAAATTTAATAGGTAGCAAATTTAAAGCGAGACGTTTCAGGTGGTAGTAAATGTGAAAATTTCCTAAAAATTAAAGATTTTGGTCAATAAAAGTGCCCCTGATCCTTCAAAACCAAACTCCAAAAAGGTTGGTAGATTTCTCGTGGAAGACCAATAACTTAGGAAATTGGCCATCAAAAAAAAAAAAAAAAAAATAACATAGGAACTCTAAACTTCTGATTCTCTCAAATTTCGCCATCTTTTCTAAAATTTATGGATTCCATGAAAAAACCCCAAAACCACCACCTTTAATTGAAGAAGAAAGAGAGACAAAAAGTTGCAGTCTTTAATTTCCTTCAACAAAATTCAATCACGGCTTTCTTTGCGATCAACGCCCAAACAACTCCCAAATCCCACCAAAAATCCCAAATCAAAAACAACAATTTTGATCGATTGACAAAATTGGGTGTTGATAAATTGAGAACCCCTTCTCCTCACGGAGGCAGGGGTGCTCTGCCTTCTGACGGCGGTTGCCCTTCTGATCTCCTCTTCCTTGCTTGTGGTGGCTTTTCTGTCAATTACCCTTTTCTTCTTTTTTCTTTAATTCTTCTGGGTTTTTCTTAGATTTTGCTGATTTTCTGTTTATTTCGAGAATTTTTGGGAAGTATAAAAATGGGGGTTTTGGATAGAACTCTTACTATTAAGAGGGTTCCCACGGTTCTTTCCAATTATCAGGAGGAGGATGATGTTGGGAAGCTTGGTTGTGGGCGCAATTGCCTTGGGAAATGCTGCTTGCTTGGTATGAATTGATTTTGGTGCAATTAATATTAGTAATTTTTTTATGAGTTTGATTTGCATGATGTTTTTTCGTAATTTTTGTTTTTAGTTTGATCAAATAGGTGCTGCCTTTGTTGAATGATTTGATGTTTTGCTTGTGATCATGACATTTATGGCTCAATTTGCATGAACATCCAATATTCATGTTGAAAACTGTTGCATATAGTGCATTTCTGAATGTGCTATTTGCCTATTTTATTTATCTATCATGTTTGGGATTATAATCACATTGACTAGTTATAGACATTGCTTTATTGTTCTTTATATGTTTGCCCATGACTTGATCATCGAAGCTTGTTTAAGTTTGATTTTCTTAGATATTCTCTTTTGTAGGATTTAGATTCTGAATTTCATACAATTGTTTGTTGAAGTTGTTCTTATCTTCTTGATTCGCTCTTGGTTGTGTTCGTTTTACAGCAGCTTGCACTCGAGCTTCTTTTGGTTATTTTTTATTCATGTTCCCGTTAATATGTTGAATCAAGATTTCTTTTGAGATATTGTTGAGCAATTGCTTTAGAGATGAGATCAAGATTAGTTTGGTTACCTTATGATTAGCATATGATGTAAACCTGTAGTTCAGTAATTGTAATCAGCCTAAAGCATGAGATTAACACATGTGTATTATCAGTTGTTTGCATTTGATACAAGATGAGAATCGAGAACGTGTAGCTTTGAAGGATGAGAGTCAATGTGTGTGTCTAGTCACTAGTGTCTCTACATAAAGATACAGATTCAAGGACTTAAGGGTTACTAAGATGCTTCTGGTTCACTCTAGTGTTAGGTGGATTTGTTTCCTGCCTTAGCTTTGTGCATAGAATATACTACCCCATCTATTCAATCCATTTGTTGGGTTTTGTTTTCAGTGTCAAAGCTTCCTTTATATGCATACAAGGAAGAGGATGATGCTATGATTGAAAATGGCATGGCCTATTCTTTGGATCAAGGGCCTTCTATTTCCTTTCTACATGACCTCTTGCTGGGACAGTGGGAGGACAGGATGAGGAAAAGGCTTTTCAGATACGATGTGACCAAATGTGAAACTAAAATTATAACAGGAAGATATGGATTTATTGCCCAGCTTAATGAGGGACGTCACCTGAAGAAACGGCCCACTGAGTTCCGGGTTGATCAGGTTCTTCAACCATTTGATGCTAACAAGTTCAATTTTACAAAGGTTGGCCAAGAAGAAGCACTTTTTAGGTTTGAACCTAGTAACAACCATATGACTCATTATTTTCCAAGTGCACCTGTCACATCAGAATCCGATTCACCAAACATTGTTGCTATAAATGTAAGTTTGTGTGTATATCTCAGCTTTGCTTTTCTTGCTGTCTCCCAAAAAGCAAGTTGCCCTTTATTTTTGCATATTAGATTAGTTTTACCAAGAAGAATTTTGTGTGGTGTGCCTCATTGGTAATTGGTTTTATTGTCAGGTGAGCCCGATAGAGTATGGACACGTCCTTTTGATTCCTCGTATATTTGATTGCCTGCCTCAGAGGATTGGTCATGCAAGCTTCTTGGCTGCTCTTTATTTTGCAAAAGAAGCAGCTGATCCCTTCTTTAGAGTTGGCTATAATAGTTTAGGTGCATTTGCCACGATTAATCACCTGCACTTTCAGGTAATTGTTAATGGAAATCTTTTGGAGTGCATTACGGACTTCATTTTGACTTCTGTCTATATCCATGTTCTTAATTTTATTTTTTTTTACTTGTGACAGGCTTATTACTTGCAAGTGCCTTTCCCAGCTGAGAAAGCACCAACTCAAGTGATATCTGAAGCACAAGATATTACTCGTAATGGAGTTGTGATATCTCAAGTTTTGAAGTATCCTGTTCGGGGGTTTGTCTTTGAGGGTGGTAACACTATACAAGAGTTATCTGATGCTGTTGCTAATTCTTGTATTCGCCTTCAAAGTACTAATGTCCCTTTCAATATTCTCATATCTGGTTGTGGGAAAAGGATATTGTTGTTCCCTCAGGTAATCTTTTTTCTTTTGCAACCGTGATCCAACCCTAAAGAGTAAATTGTGTCACGCTTTTCTTAGTGACTTTTGTGTCTAGTTGCATCTATATCTTGTTGGGTTTTATTAAAGGATGCTGCCATCGCTTTCCATAAGTTTACTGCATATTTCATACCTTACAGACTTGTATATTGAGGCGGGACAGGGTTAGGGGTATGTTTCTGATGGAATTATGTGATTGATTTTCATTTTAGTATCTAATGTTTTTCTTGAAATCAGATGTTTGACAAATGATTGAAATGATGTATTCCATCAATTAATGGCCTGTTTGGTTGTTAATACGTAGTAATTAAATGGTTGGTAATGGACTAATGGTAATGAGTTTATAGGTTTTTGTAACTTTGTGAAGAAGATTGCCAATGGCCCAATACCCATGGACCCATGGTAATGCTAGTCCCTCCCCCAAATACCAAATTTTCATTACCATTTTAGGGGTGGTAATGTGGTATTGTGTGAAAATGAAAATTGTAAGACAAAAATACATGTTTGTAGGTGAGGTAGTTCCATTGATATGGTAATGGCCATAGGATTTCCTTGCAAAATTACATACAAATCCATTATCATTCCTGCCATTAATGACCGCTTACCAAATGTACTGTGTATATTATTTTCAAACCACTGTTTTAGTGTTTGCTGTTCTTTAGTGCAATTTAGAATAAGATGCTAGTGCTTTGCAAGGAAAGAGACTAATATTTGATATTTTCTTTTGAAATACAGTGCTATGCTGAGAGACAAGCTCTGGGACAAGTGAGCCCAGAAGTGCTGGACACACAGGTGAACCCAGCAGTGTGGGAGATCAGTGGACACATGGTGCTGAAAAGGAGAGAGGATTTCGACAAGGCATCAGAGGAATATGCATGGAGGCTTCTGGCCGAGGTATCTCTGTCAGAGGAGAGATTCAATGAGGTGAAGGCAGTAGTATTAGAAGCTTCGGGGCTAAAAGAGATTCTAACCTGTAGGACTTGCTTAAAAGAAGAGGAAGGGACTGAGGAACTTCTCCAAGAATCTTGTGAATCGGCTCAACTGCTGCCAAAAGATTGTACAGTTTTGCAGTAAAGTTAGCAGCCAGCGTTGGCACTGATGCAGTGTACTAAGTGCCTTACCGCCTGGCCTTCACTGTGCTAACTTTTGTACTCCCGTGAAATTAAGAGAGCTTGACCTCCATGTTAGGCCACACTTCTTTCTCTGCTTTTTTTTCGTTCTGATATTTTTCATTGGCTAGATTATACTTTCTGTATAATAAATCAGGATACGCCTGTAAAACTTCTCGAGTCCTAGAACTCCAGAAGCTATAGATGAAGCAAATGTCTATTCTCTGTAGATATTTCCATTCTCAAAAATAATGTACCATTAACAGTTGGAGTACGGCCACCCTTTTTCTGCTATTTTATGTTTATTCTTGTTCATCAATTGTCTTGAGCCATTGCCCAGTAGTTTGGACATCTTCATCATAACCATAGAGAATAAATGACACCCAAGAAATTTATCTATGTCAGGAACAGATTTCTTAGTATCTTGGTCTGTCTACTAGCAACTCTGTTGATCACAATGTTATTCTAGTAATCTCCTCATTTATTACGGCCTCCTATTTTAAATACCAAAACGCGTCAATAAACATACAAGTTGTCAACAATGTTAAGCTAGTGGTCTCATCCTCATTACCTCATCAGTTAAGGTCTACCGTACTGATTAAGAGTCTCACCCTCAAAACCTTATCTATTACGGTCACCCTTATTAAATACTCCCTCCGTCCCTTAATACAATGCCTCTTTCTCTTTATTATGTGAGGAATAAATGCTCAAAAGAGGCATTGTATTAAGGGACGGAGGACAAAACGCGTTGATAAACATATATACAAAGTACGCAAGTTGACAGCTTGAGTATTTTCGTTATCACAAATAACAGACTCGCAGGCCTCTTATGTTCTATTAAACTTTGGAAAGCTTCAAACTTTTGATATAGTTTTAGGGACGATTTGTGATGGGCTTTGGAAATGGTCTTCAGGACATAAATGGCCTTTATTGAAGACACTTAATAGCCCATTTAATATCTGATAAAGTTTTATGGAAAATAAGGAGGTTTTTTTTTTTCGTCTTTGACCTCTTTGTTACATTTGAGAATTTAGATTGACTTTTTTGATGTGAAACATTATAAACTTTCACAACTAACACTCCATTATCTGATTCTCAAGCAATACGCTTATTTGGGTTTGTTAAATACTTCCTCTATTTTCAAGTAATTGATTTATTTGGACTTCACAGTATTCACACTTTTTTTTTATTCGAGTATATTTTTTCAAATAAAGTATTATTTATGTTACGGAGTACTATTTTTTAATACCGCCATCCAAAATTATCAAAACCGCCAACATTTAGTGTGAATGGACAATTATGTCCTTAGTACTTCACTACTATCTTCCCTCTTGCCATCAATCACTAACACCTTGACACCACCACCCTAATTGACGACTAACACCACCACCACCACCACATTGACCGGCGACAATCACCACCGCACTAGTGACCCACCACCTCCCTCCTTTTTTTTAAAAAAAAAAAAATTTCAGATTTTCAGGCAATCGCGGTAACCAAAGCCCAAAATCAATTACCGTGTATGGTAAACGGAGCCCAAAATCGAACCGGTTTTGGGCTCCGGTTACCATAGAATCGATTAAGGTGCACGGTAACCGTAGCCCAAAACCGGTTACCGTGGATGGTAACCGGTTTTGGGCTCCGGTTACCACGCACGGTAACCGGTTTTAGGCTCCGGTTACCACGCACGGTAACCGGTTTTGGGCTCCGGTTACCACGGTTGCCTAAAATAAAAAAAACACCACCTTCACGCCGACCAGGGAAGGTGGTGGGTTGTCATAGAGGGGGGTGTGGTGAGTCGTCGGTCAAAAGGGGTTGTGATCGCCGGTTGGAAGGGGTTGTAGGTTGCCGGAAGGATGAAGGGATGGTGAAGTAGTAAGGGTATGATTGTCCATTCACACCAAATGTTGACGGTGGTGATCATTTTTGTTGACGGTGTTTAGCAATCCACAAAAAGTACTCTGTATAGTCATAGATTCTACTAAATACATCTCATCAAATTCTCAATTCATAATTTCATACCTCTAAAGAAATTATTACAGTATAATTTTTAATTAAGAAATAACTAATGATATTAATAGTCAAGTCATCAGGCATAAACACATGTACGGATTATAAATCCATTTATGGTGATAATTATACGGATTAGAAATTAATAACCTAACAAGTATAATCTTTATTCTTAAGAGTCTTAATGGCTATAGCACTTAAGGGTTCCAATACATTCTACACATGAATACATGATTACTAGATGCTTATTGGTTTCACTTTTAGATGCTTATGTGTATTACTTATAGTATAGATGTATAGTACAATGATAATATAATGTTCCCTCCGTTTTATAGTAATCTTCTCATTTAAATAATTTTCGCGAGGTAAAATTGGTCAAAGTGAGAAAATCAATATGAGGTGGATATAGTATCATCGATAACAAAGTAGAAATATAAGGGATAAATATATCGTGGTAGAACTCTCTACTTTTTATGTTTCTTTTACTCGCAACACAACCTTTATGCACACAGTTCAAGGAGGCGATTAGTGAAGGTAAACAAATATTTTAACATTAGATTAGAGAATGATTAGGTACTATGTGTAAAATTTATTTTTGATTAATTTACACTATAATATCTCGATCTCAAAGTGCGTAATACGAAACTGTATTAATATTTTAAAACGGGGGAAGTAAATTATATGGACAATATAACAAAATAGTAATTTTTTAAAGACAAATTTAAGGGCGTAATCTTCAGCTTATTTTCAATTCAATTCAGCTCCAATCAATTCAGATCAGTTTAGTTCCTAATTTCCTTCTTTTATACTACCTCCGTTACATGTTAAGTGCAACAAAGGAGGTTGCACATTTCCCAAGAAAAAAAATGAAAAAGCTAATTAGCAAAAGTATGGGCATGTGACTATGGGGTTAATTAATTAAATAAGATGTTCCACCCACCATCACTTTCACCCCCTGCACCACCACCTACGTACACCACCAGCAACAACAACCACCACACCATACCAACCACCAAAACCACCAAAATCACCCTACCAACCACCGAAACCACCATACGAACCACCAAAACCACCGAAATCACCCTACCAACCATCGACACCACCATACCAACCCACTGAAAACACCAAAATCACCACTGAAACCACCCATACCAACCCACCAAAACCACCAAGTAGATCCAAAAAACCCACTTCTTTCCTACCCATGTCCTGCTATAACCATCCTCTCACCATCACCAAGATCCGAAACCGACTCCACCCAACTCGCGTCCACACCACGAAGCTACCCCACACCCACCTCGTAACCACCACCGCACCTTTCCTTCGGATTTGTCTCATCTTTCACCATTGTTGCTTTAGATCTGAGTTTTCAAGCTCAATCTCAAATTCTACTTTTTTAGGGTTTCAATTTATGGTGACAGCTTAAACATGTGAACAGAAGGTTGCGGCGACAATAACGAGGGGAGGAGAAGTGTCGGCGACTCAGATGAGGAGGGGCGGCGACTAGATCTGGATGGCGGTGGTGGTGCGGTGGCTGTTAGAGAAGAGATAAAAGAGAAATGAGAGAAAAGTGGTGGTGGCTGAGAGGGAGGGTAGAGAAAATGTGGTGCTGTTGGTGCCTTGGTGGTGGATGTGGATGTGAGTGAGGAGAGAGAAGGTGGGTTAGGACTTTAATAATTGATTAATTAGTTGATCACATATAATTTAATGTGTTTATTAAAGTTAAGTAAGGATAGGATGGTAACTTCAAACAATAAAATTTACTAAATGAAGAAAGTTTTTATTTATTGCACATAATGTGTAGCATCCCTTTTTGAAAAATGTTGCACATAATGTGTAATGAAGGTAGTAAAATATTCATTTTAATTCAATTCAGTTCAATTCAACTCAGTAAATCAAAACAGACCCATAGGAAGTGTTAACAACCAAATTGAAGTACAGTAGTAAATCAAGTAATAAGGAATCTCGTACTACTTCAACTATATTTACTTATTAATGGGGCAATTGTGGGTCCATTAACAGAAATAGTTGCGGTGAATTGGTGAATGGTGAGTTGGTGACCAATCTGAGCATTGGAGTTTCTGGAGCTTGGACCCACATTTAGAATTTTAGAAGATGATTTTCTGCTCTTTTCTTTTCTTTAGAAGAATTGTAGCTGAAAACAACTTCAATAAGAAAATTAAAAAATTCATTGACAAATTCTTCTGACATTGTTTAGAATAGGCTATATGTAGGACATGTTCTTTTCCCATATATTACTCCACTTCCTGCTCCACATTCGCAGGAAACCTTAGAAAAGTTCTAAGCTAAACAACAAACCTTAACCATAATTCAGTAATTGTGTTATTGGGTCTCTTCATTTCATTTCATTTCAATTGCTCTTAATTTCCTTCTTTTATAAAATATTCATTTCATTTCAGTTCAATTCAGCTGAGTTCAGTCAATGAGAATAAGTCTTATTATATCGATCTTTTTTAATTTATCCATTGTAACTTTGTTTTATGAAAGTGCTTTAAAAAAACAAGACAAACGAGGTTAGGGTAATACTATAATATAAAATAATGCGGGATAATAGAAGGTATGTTGATAACTTAGGGATTAATTATATTTTAACATGATTTTGAACATTAAGTACATTTTTGTCAAAGAATATTTAGAGTAATTGTTAAATAAAAAGTTATTGTTAACTCAATATAATTACCATAGTAGCTTAGATAATACTACTAAATCTGAAAATGATACCCAGTATTAATTATCGAACAGATAATAATAATTTACATTGATTTTGTACCCAAAATAATTTAGTAAACAATAATAAAACCTGAACCATATGCTATTGCCGCGCTCCATTGAACATTTCAGACATGTCTTGAATTTTCGCCACATGACTAATCAATTCCTCAAGAGTTTGTATCGTGATAGCATTATAATACACTAGATAACGATGTGTCACGATAATTTCCTCCAATGAAGGAAAAGCCCCAAAATTAACCAAATTATTTTGTGTGTACATTAATTATTATAGGTAATGCACACTTGATTGTTTTTGTGGTCATAAAATTTCTAGTATGGGCAACTCGCTTTCTTTCCAAGCGCTCTCATCTTTATTACACCATTCATTTCAAAACACGATTAAACTTATACGAGTAAATAAATAAAATAAGCGATGATTTCATAATATGGTACGGCATGCACTATTTTAGACGCATTTATTATCTTAGATGTATGTAGTTCACACGTTAAAATCTTACCCAAAAAATCGGTATGATTCTATATTACGGAGTATATCTTATTTTATCGTAAAGTATCGCAAGTAGCCCTACTAGCTCCCATATCGATTACACGATTGTCAAATATACACCGTATCTGTCAATTCCATACCATAAATGAATCCCAACACAAATCAAGCAATTAAAATCGACAAAATTGATAGTAAAACACAATATTCCTCTAACTCATACTATATAGTAATTGAGCAATTGAATAGAAAACCTAACTGAATCTAAATCGAATAACTCCACAATTAGCATAAAATAAACAAAAAGAGAATTACGAATTAAAATCAGAAATATTAAACTAAAACCAGTTAGCAAGCAAAGTGTATTCACAAGAATACTTTTCCCTTCTTAAATCCCTAAAAATCGTCAATTAAGAAACCATTAACTAGCAGTAGTATATTCAACCACTAATTAACAATCAAAAAATTACACTTAAAAAAAGTAGTAATTAAAATTAAAATTAAAAATTATCACCTATACACAATTAATCTTCTTCTTCCTCTCTCTAGATTAACGAACGATTTCATCAATCAAGCGGCCATCATCTTCTTAAACTCCTCGAAATCGACATGACCATCACCATCAGCATCAACAGATTGAATCATCTTCTTACAATCTTTCAATGAACATTTCTCACCTAAACTCTTCAACACATCGTATAACTCACGCGCTGAAATCTTACCGTTGCCATCTTTATCGTATAAACTGAAAGCTTCTTGAAGTTCCTTAGTGGAGCCGGCATTGCCGCCAGATCCGGCGTGAAACTCGGAGAATTCAGTTAGATCGACGTAACCGTCGCCGTCTTTGTCCATCTCATCCATCATCTTCTTCACTTCTTCCGACGATGTTTCCGATCCTAAGGCGTGTAACAGCGACTTGAGTTCCGACGCCGAGATCTTTCCGTCGCCGTTTTTGTCGAATTTCTGGAAGATTATCTCGATTTCTGATTGAGATTTTTTCTGAGGATTTGAATTTGAAGTTGAGTTTTTTCGCCATTGATGAGAGGAGAGGAGAGTGAAAGTGAGGGTTGAGAGGAGAGAGAAAGTTGAGGAGAGGAGAGAGAAAAAGGGGAGATTAAAAGGTTTTTTTGAGAAGGTAGTGATGGAGTTGTTTTATAGTTGGAGAAGACGCGGTTTTAGGAGGACGCGGTTGAGTAATAACCAACTTTCTTTGAGTATGATTTCTTTATATTGTTATATATTTTTTTTTTAGATTCTTTTTTCTGTTATTTTAATTTAATTTTTTTTTATTTAGTTAGTTGGGGGTAGTAGTGCTGCTGTTGCCTCTTATTATACAGTTAGGGTTTATATTATTAATTGTGTAAATAATACAAGTAATATATGATAACTATTCAAAAAAAAAAAAGTAATGTATGTTATGATGATTTCAGAATTATTCAAGATGGAGAGATGTGATTATATGTCATGTTGTTATGGTTGAACAAAGCAACTAAGCAACAGATTATATCATTGAATCATTCCTTAGTTCCTTTGTAGTGGTGGACAAGGCTATTTGTTTAACCACCACCCAAGTTGCAATTTAGTACGGAGAACGCACCTTAATTTTTAGAGTGGATTGTTTATGGATTAAATTTATAGCACACAATCTAGTCATACTTGTTATGAACTTAGTCAGTTTTGTGACTTAAATTCACTTTCTAAATACACCTAGACAATCTAACACAAGTAGAATTATCTCACGTCTTAAATTAAAAAGAGCAAGCCCCAATCCAACCAGTATAATTATTTGGTACTTGGTGCTCCCTCTTCACAACCTAGCTTGCCTCCAACAATCCAACCCGTCTAGCTACCCTAGCTTAAAGAACCAGGATTGTTAATATAAAAAGGACGTGATAATAGAAACCATTTGAAATTAATGCATGCATATCTTACACGCTCTCTATTTCATCCGTTTCATAATAATTGACACATTTTGATTAAGACATAGCTTAGACTTAGACTACTGTATAGCATGCCAATGATTACAAATCGAAGAGAGTATCAACTTATACGGGTACAAATTAGGAAAATAATTTTGTCTGAATATACATAAAAAAATAATACAGTGATATACTAAACCCTTAGGGTTGCATATAATAAGCTACTAAAAGCGGAAAAAATACATACAGTATTATATAACAAATTAACAATTGCTACGCTCATCCATGCATATTCAATACTCTAATGTATAATCAATAAAACATAGCAAATGGTGTTCAATCTACAACAAAAACATAGCAAATGATCAACTTATAAAGTTGGTAATTTATCAAAACAGTTAACGACAAGTTTGGGCTTTAAAACGTACACGAGAAGTGTGTGCAAGTAAGTAAAAGTTTTGAAAGTGAATAAACGTAAAAGAAAAACAGTTAAATGAAAGAGATAGACAACCAATTTATTATGATCCATGTTCAAATAGAAGCTCCATGTGATGTAGTTAGGTCCTATACTTTTCTGTGGGCTTTTTGGTTTGGCTTCTTATTTTTGGACGCGCTTTCTTGGGATACAATTCCAATCAATTTTACTTACTTATATAGTCTATTGCTTGTATGTGTATTTATTGTCTTGTTAATTCTTAATTGGTGAGTGACACAACGGCCACAAATCCAGATTTAGCGGACCCGATTCACGGATCTGCTTTTATTAACAACGGAGTTTTTTTTTTTTTTTTTTTTTTTAATTTATGAAAAAGGGAAACATTATGTTAAATACTATACGAGGAACCACTAATGGAGAAAGGTTATGCATGTAGAAATTCATAACAAGAGACATTCATGTAATTACATATATGTACGAGAGTAGTATCATTATATATGTACAAGAGACATTCATGTATAGTGGTACTATATGCATGTATATTGACATTATATATGCATTCAGTTTGTTTAGGATAGGTTACATGTTCAAATCTCCCATCCATATGTGTAATTTGTAAGGAGGATTATTGACTTGTCAAAATAAAACCCCTTACAAGTTAGTTAAATTTGTATTAATTGGTGGGACACCTTTATGAGTGAAAGAAAAGAGATGCATATGTTGAATTGAATTGAAAGCAATTCAATTGTATAGTGGTATTATATATGCATTCAGTTGTACGTATATGATTGGTTACATGTTCAAATCTCCCATCCATATGTGTAATTTGTAATGATGGTTATTGACTTGTCAAAATGAAACCCTTTACAAGTTAGTTAAATTCATATTGATAAGTGGAACACCTTTATGAGTGAATGAAAAGAGATGCATATGTTGAATTGAATTGAAAACAATTCTATAATACAATTGTACCGGTGTTTGTATATAAATCGCTTAATGAGTGAGTATTTTTTTCTTCTTATAAGAGATTTTACAACACTTTGAACAGCATGAAATTTCATGTGGTTGATTTGAAAAAAGTAAGGAAAGAAAATATTATAGCAAATTTTATAGTGAATAATAAAAAAAAGTGTAAGGGTGTATGAATGGAACCACGTAAATTAATATACGAGTATAACAAAAATATTTCATTCATTTGTAAAAGTTCGATTTAGTTTGCATTTGTGCAATATCTAAGGTACTTTTTTTGCCATTAATATCTTTGGTTAGATATTGAAAATTATATAAATTTGATATCTAAAAAGTTTATTGTAAAGTAAATCTATTAATATCTCAACCCACATGATATAATCAATTTATTTTATATAAATGATTATATGTAATCAAAGTAATAAGTGAGTCGCATTCTTAGAAACATGTAGTAATGAATAACCCATCGAAATAAAAAGGGAGAATTTAACTCGATAATCAAATAGTTTATTTGGGAAAATGAGATGATTAAATAACCGTGATTTAACCAAATATAGCGGAATACTTTTATCCGATACAAATTGATTATTTATATTATATAAAATATTATGACCGATATTTTTAGATTTCAATCAATGAGTTATTCTAATATTATTTTGTGTGTTTATGGAATAGAGAGATAGAAATTGAAGGTATAATAATATAAAACCCATCATAATTGATTATTCTTAGCTATATATTTTTTTACTCCATTTCTCATTGCTACGAGTAATCCGTAGTTTATACACACGGGTGTATAGTGCTCATAATACACCCGGATAAATAAAAAAAAGGCGGAAAGAACATCCTGTGTTTCATAAAGAACATACATGTATTTGACAAAGAACATTTTTGTATTTGACAAAAACATGCATTACCAAAGAACATAAAGATATAATAAAAAGAATGAGGTAAAAACTTGATAAAATTTTCTGAAAAATTACACATTATTAACGGGAAAAATTTAGAGGTGATAAAAATCGAGTGGGCCGGGCCATATCATAATTTCTTGTGCCCAAACCCATAGAAAAGTAGCGGGTTTTCGGGCTTTTTTCGAACCCGGTTCGAGTTTTAACTAAAAATGCATTTTTAGGTTTGCCCAAACCCACCCTATTTCGGGCCGGATCGATTCGGGATGCGAGTCATGCCAATGTTGATCACCTCTTAAAAAATCCGTACCAAAGATATCATTTCCCCAAAAAATAGTTTTCTATCTCTCCAAAAAAAATTCAACTTCCCATAATAATTTAGTTTTTTTACTCTAACATTATTTTCAATTAAAAATAATTTAAGATTTCAATATCAAATTTCAAAATATCATATGTTAAAAGAACATAATTTATATTGTAAAGTACATATATTTAATACCTAAATAACACACTAATCAAACTCAAAGAATATATGATAATAAAAGTAATTTAAATATGACATATGATAATAAAAAAATAGAATTTGGGCGTCACTACGACCTTAAAGAACATACACGCCAAATTCAAAGAACATACTTTGTATTATTAAACCCAAAAAAAAAAATATGTTTATCAACATATGTTAAATATCATAAGTTATAATGTAAAGAACATGTTTGGGTCCAATTTAGTCCAATTGGGCCTAGTCATTAAATGATACAATTTAAAGCCCAAGGTCAAGGTTCAACTCTCCAATTGTGCTAAAGTCAAAGATCAATCCTCAAGGCAAGTCAATTGGGCTAAGGCCCAACTTCTCCATATATGCAAAGGTATAAAAGCCATCAATATTACATTTGTACATTCATTCAAACAAAGCCTCAAGCAATTAATTCTCTTGCATAGCATTCTCTTTCTACACACTGTACTGACTTTAGCATCGGAGGGGCCTTCCTCGGCAACACACCCGAGGCTAGTTTACGTGTGTTTACTGTGCAGGAAACCTTCGACCCAACATCACTTGGACCGAATCCAGTCTTCTCCACTTCATCGGACCTTTGACAAGGTCCCATTGTTTTCACCCGAAACAATTTGGCGCCGTCTGTGGGGAAGACTTTCAAAAATCTTTAAGCCAAGTTTCTAACCAAGATCATCTTACAATTATCTTAGTAGCAATGGCTAAGAACCGCAAGAGCAAAAGCCTCCGTCAAGGAGCAGGCGAAAAAACCTAAAACCCCTACACCATCGCCCTCACCGGACCGGAACTCTCCCAAGGGTGCCAGCTCGGGGGGGGATCATACAGGGAGGATTCCCTTTCTCCCGTAATTCATAACTCTCATCATAGGCCGAGTCACTCTCGGTCTAGCAGGGGTCAGTCCGATCATAGGACACATTCAGTGCCCCAAAGCCAACCATCGCCGTCCGCTCTCATTCCCATACTCAGCCGAGGACCCCTTTGACGGTGCCCAGCTCGGAGGAGGTGGCAAGAGCGCTGGAAGTGCTCATGGAGGCAATGAGGGCACAAAATATGCAGCCACCTCGTGATCGAACTCCTCCGCATACCCAGCATCAGCGGAGGAAGCTAGACCATGATGGTGGGAAACTTCCTTCCTTCCGGGAACTGGAAGAGTGGGAAGAGGATACCTGGAAAACTGAAAAAGAGAGGAAAAAGAACCCTCAATTCTTCAGAGGATCCTCGACCTCCCGACAGGAAACGCATAAGAGCAGCAACTCAGCTTCTCGGCCAAAATCTGCTCGCCAAGAACAACCTGAGACTGTTCGCCGAAGTGTTCTCGACCGACTCGGCGGCAAGGAACCGAGCGTGCACAGTCGCCTCTCGTTCCCTGCAGCCGAGGC